GACAGAGCAGGGAGAAGAACAGGTGGATCCACGAAGTGCACTGCTGAGGGGAGCAGCCAGTGAAACAGGAGAGGTCTGTGGCGCCCTGTGGGTCACCTCCATGGCCAGGATTGAATTCATGCTGAAGCAGTTTCTGCTAGCTTCTCTGTGTTGCACTTTAATGTAATGCGCCACCAGGGAGGACACAACATCTTAAAGTTTTTAATTCGCTGGGGTATGATAAATGGGTATGATAAATGTTCAAAGGAGTCTGAAGTCTATAGCTGTCTACCAAATGTAGTTGACCAGAGAACTTTTTTCACAGAATTTATTTCCCCAAATACACTGAAAAATTCTCTGGGTATTAAAGTCACTTGCAACTATGAAATCCTAAAGACAATAAAGATTAGTTCTTTCATTTTGAAAACTTGATGGCTAATATTGTTTTCACACCCAAATGAACCTCTATAAAAGTCACTGTCTTCTGAAAACAGGTTTGCCTTCTTTTCTTGGCTCTACTTTGTTGCCGTGAATGATACTGCCCTTTCTATTGCCCTTCCTGACTTGGTTCTCCCTTCTCACTGCCCCTTTCCTTGAAGACAGCCTCCACGTGTGTAACTGAAGTGTTCTCTAACCACTACATTTTAGAGCAGTAAAAAGAATCAGGTCAGGGGAGCAGGGCCCTGAAGCCAGAGCTGCCGCTGTCATCGTGTGCCTGGATCTGGTCAGTGGTCTGGGCCAAGTCCAGGAGCTGGGTGTAGGACTCCTCGGTATCTTGCACCCTTATTGACCATTCCTTGCACAAACACGGGACCATCCCTGAGTTACAGTAACAGATGCAGGAAGTGGAGGGTCATCTGAGCCTCAGAAAACAGTAGGTGCCCTTGAGTCCGCCAAATGAGCTGCACGCCCTTCCGATGATATTCTGTGTCACCATTCAGCATCTTCGTTGAAGCTTGTACTTCACCTGTGACAGTGTCCTGTGGGCTGGGAAGTTTGGAACCGTGTGGACGGGGAAAAGTGGGCTCAACGTTCACTCATGTACTACCTCTTTTCCCTCATTATAAATTTGAGCTGTAATGCCTGTGGAGGCTTTTTAAAAAAAACAATACTATAGTTTATTTTTGCATCATTTTGTGCATTTTCCCGTCTCAGTTGCAATCCCCTTGGGCTTCCCATCACCAAATCACCCGCGTGCCATCACCATAGTCCAGTGAACTTCCCTCCCCCCACCTTTTCTGGAATCCATGGGATCATTCCCCATTCCACCTCCATAAAATATCTCTGGTATTTAGTTGTTCATTATTATTATTATCTTCTCGCCTGGTCCTTTATACTCCTGCTATGAGAGAAATCATCCAGTATTTTTCCTTTTCTTTCTGGCTTATTTCACTAAGCATGATCTTTTCCAGCTCCATCCATGTTGCTGCAAAAGGCATGTGTTTATTTTTTTTTGGTTGCTGAGTAATATTCCATTGTGTATATGTATTGTGGAGACATTTTAATAAAACAGACTCCACTTTGCTCAGCTGAACAATGCAGGAGTTGCCATGGGAACCTGGTCCTGGGTCCATATGACCAGTAGGGGGCTACTGAGAATTCCGGCAAACAG